TAAAATCTTTAAAAAAAAAAAAAAAAAACTTCTCAATGAAAGGCACTGGAAGAGGATGAAAAGACAAGTCACAGGGAGAAAATCTTTGCAAAACACGTATCTGACAAAGGATTGCTATCCAGAATATATAAGAGCTCTTAAAACTAAACACCAAGAAAACAGACAACCCCATTAAAAAATGGGTAGAAGATCTGAACAGACACCTCACCAAAGATGATGTACAGATGGCAAATAAGCATATGAAAAGATATACAACATCATATGTCATCAGGGAATTCCAAATTAAGCAAAAGTGAGATACTACTACACACCTATTAGAATGGCTCAAGTCCAAAATCTTGACAACACCAAATACTGATGAGGATGCAGAACAACAGGGACTCTCATTTATTGCTGGTGGGAATGTAAAATGGTACAGCCATGCTGGATGAAGGAGTCTGGAAGTTAGTTAGTTTCTAACTTCTTTCTTTTCTTTTCTTTTTTCTTTTTTCTTTTCTTTTCTTTTTCTTTCTTTCTTTCTTTCTTTCTTTCTTTCTTTCTTTCTTTCTTTCTTTCTTTCTTTCTTTCTTTCTTTCTTTCTTTCTCTTCCTCCTTCCTTCCTTCCTTCCTTTTTTCTCTTTCTCTCCTTTCTTCCTTCCTTTCAGATTTTATTTGAGAGAAAGGAGCGAGCATGAGTGGGGGAGGGGCAGAGAGGGAGAAGCAGACTCCCCACTGAGCAGGGATCCTGACTTGGGGCCCAATCCCAGGACCCCAAGACCATGACCTGAGCTGAAGGCAGATGCCCAACTGACTGAGCCAGCCAGGTGCCCCTGGAAGTTTCTTACAAAGCTAAATTAAACATTGTCTTACCATATGATCCCATTATCATGCTTCTTGGTATTTACCCAAATAGGTTGAAAACCTATATCCACACAAAAATCTGCCCATGAATATTTATAGCAGCTTTATTCATAATTGCTAAAACTAGGAAGCAACCAAGATGTCTTAAAGTAGATGAATGAATAAACTGTGGTGCATCCAGACATTGGAATACTATTCAGCTATAAAAAAAATTGTCATGGAGGAATCTTAAATGCATATTGCTAAATGAAAAAGGCCAATCTGAAAAGACTATATACTGTATGATTTTAACTATATGACATTTGGAAGAGGGAGGGTTGAATAGGTAGAGCGTGGGATTTTTAGGGCAGTGAAACTGTCCTGCATGATTCTGTAATGGTGGATGCATGTCATTATATATTTGTCAAAACTCATAGAATGTACAACACAGAGAGAACCCTAATGTAAACTATGGACTTTAGTTAATAATATTGTATAAACATTGGTTCTTCATCAGTTGTAACAATGGACCACACTGATGTATAAGATGTTAATAGTAGGGAAACTGTGTGGTAGGGAGAAGGGGTATATGGGATTTTCTCTACTTTCCACTCAATTTTTTTCTATAAACATAAAACTGTTTAAAAAAATCTATTAATTGAAAAAGCAGTGCTTGACTGGAAAAGTGATACACATTCACATATATACCTACATTCCACCTGTTGGCATAAAGCTACTCTTATTTATTAATAAGTAGAATACACCTAATATTTTTTAGGCTCTACTTTTTAAAGGTACACATATCTGATGTTTAAACACATTTTGTTTGATATTTGAGGGTTTTTTTCCCCTTCTGAAGCCATTTATTGAGTGTATACTTTTTGGCAGAAACTTTTAGGTATTTTTCATTTAGTTTGAAGTAGATACTATTTACCCCATTGCACAGATGAAAAAGCTCTGACCCAGAGAAGTGAAGTGGCAAGGCTGGTGCTTGAATCTAGGCCTGTTTGGCTCTAAAACCTGTGTGCTATATATATAGCCTTTGTAATTCACAAAGACATATTTTTTGAAATTGCTAAAATTTATCCCCTACAGTAAGTGTAAGTGCCTTTAGAGCAAAAATATCATTGAAAGAGATTGTCTAGGTTTGAATCTTGGCTTTACTGTCTACTTTAGCCTTGTGTTTTTAATTAGGTTATATTACCTCTTTATGCTCTCGTTTCCTTATGTGTTGAACGGAGATAGTAATTGAAATTGTGAGGATTAAATGAGTAAATGTATGAAAAGCTTTTAGAACAGTGCCTGGTACAGAATATGAGTTACATAAATGTTAGCTATTAATTAGTAGTGGAATATTTCCTCATTTCATAGATAAAAGAAACTGAGAACCAAAGAAATTAAATGATTTTCTGAGTCTTATAACTTTCTAAAATCACATAGCTATTAAATGGCAAAGTTGAGGTTTTTTATTTCAAGGTCAGAATTTTATCCACTGTTAATTTGTTTGTTTTTTTAAAGAGAAACTCTAAAAATTTGTCACTGTTTCTCCCTATCTGCTTATAGTCTACCAAATATAATTTAAAAAAATGTTTTTTCTCAATGAGGTTGATATAGTTGGGAAAAAGCATTGGGCTGTGACTTAGGTTCTGGATCAAGAGGCCTGAGTCCCTGGATTAGTTGTGTGACTTTAGTATCTCTTTAGTTCATTTGTAAACTGAAGGGTGGGTGGAATTGGGCCAGATGATTTCTAAGTTGCTTTTATAGCACCAACAATGTGATTTTGCGATACACTGCTTTTATCATGGATTATTGCACGATACTATAATACTGTGAAGTACCCAGAGCTGCTTGATTTATGCATAGAGTGGTTATTCTCTGTGCTAAATGACTGAAGAATGCTGTATTTTGATATTGGTGATCCACAGTTTTTCTGCTACATCAGCTTTTTCTTAGCTTCTTCCCTGCTTTCTTGCTTCTTCTTTTCTTTTAAAGATTTTATTTATTCTATTTGAGGGAGACAGAGAAAGGGAGAGAGAGCACAAGGCGGGGTGGGGGCAGAGAGGGAGAAGCCGACTCCCCGCCAAAGCAGGGAGCCTGACGTGGGGCTGGATCCCAGGACCCTGGGATCATGACCTGAGCTGAAGGCAGACAGTTAACTGACTGAGCTACCCAGGTGCCCCTCTTCCCTGCTTTCAGTTTACTTTCTTAATATGGTTGAATTTTTGGCTTTACCTTTTTACAGAGTGAAGCACATGAACTTTGCTGTCAGTTCTCAAATGAACACATAGCAGTCTTTTTTGGCTGCTGCATTCATAGCTAAACACTGAGTGGCTGAATCCCCTAGAATGGTGAAGTGGGTTTGGGAATGGGAATTGCTGAAAACTTCTTTGTGTAGTACGATCTTTATACAAGAGGATCTTTGAGATGTGTCTTAAACCATGGGATCATGTTTTAGATTGTTTCTTAATTTTGTTGTATGAGAAGACCCTATGAATCGCAGCATGTGTGTGTTCCCACCCTACCTTTGTGTGGTATGTGTGATTGATTAGTTCAATTACATGATTTTTTAAAAAAAATTAAGTTTCACTAGCTTATTTCAGGTGGATTTTGTAGAGTCAGGGAAGTTGGTGACAGGATATGAATAGTTTTGCATGTGGGTCATAGCTGAGTATCATTTTGGGTCTGTTTTTTCATGTGCAGTATTGGGGAGCATTAAATGTAACTTTTCTGGTTTCAGAAACTCAAAAAGAATTAAATTTTTTTTAGATTTATTTATTTTAGAGAGAGAGCATGTGAGTGGGGAGGGGGGAGAGGTTCAGGGAGAGGGAGAGAGAGTCTTAAGCAGACTCTGCCCTGAGCACGGAGCCCGATGTGGGGCTCTTGATCTCACAACTCTGAGATCATGACGTTGGTGGAAACCAAGAGTCAGACGCTTAACTGACTATGCCACCCAGGCACCCCAAGGATTTTTTTCTTTAAGAGAGCAACTAATAGTATTAGGAAACTTACAAAAGTATAGGGGGTTTCTTTATTTAAAGGAAATTTAAACGAAAGATATTGAGATGAAGAGGAAGCTATTTTTTTGTGAGTTTATATATTCTATGGTTTGTAAATAACTTCTGATATCTGCACAGCTAAGCATGTATTCTTATTTGATGGTTGCTCTCTAGCTTTTTGTTTTTTTTTTTAACATCTTGGCTTATAATTTTATAAGGATTTCATCAGTGCTCAGAAGAGTTTACTTTTACCCCACCTTGAATGAAATCTCATAAAGATGGAGCAAAGGGCTAATAGAATAGTGATTAGGCCTCTGGGCAGAAATACATAGTGGGATTTTGGTGACTTCATTACCATGGGTAATGAAGTCAGGATCTAGTGAATATTCAGGAGTTTGTCATAACAGCATATATAGGTTGAAGTCAGGAGGCAGGGTCTCTCAGGAGTTAGGCGAACAGAGCCAAAAAAGCGTTCTGAATTTTAGGCCTAAAATGATTAAAGAAGAAACATTGTGTCAACATATACTGGCAATATCAAATGGAAAAACTTTATGGTCTCAATCAATGGTGGTGTATTTTCAGGTGTATTATCTACTTTTTGGATAGGTCTGGCTAATGCCAATTTCTAATTGAAAATCTTAGGGTTAATTGCAGTGTTGTTGCCACGGATAGTAGTATTACTTTTTCAGGTAGTACTTCTTTACTGAATCTCTCTCTTTATTTATCTCATTGAGTGAAAGTCAGCCAGCTGCCACATTGTGACTACCAGGAGTGTTACTTTTTTGGCTATATTACTTAGGCTTTTGGCCCCAGGCCTTCAAAAGATACACTAACTTTTTGTTTGAAATGAGGTCATTTTCCTCTATAAAGATTACTTCTTTTTATATCTTTTTTAATTTTTAAAAATTTATTTGACAGAGAGACAGAGAGGGAACACAAGCGGGGGTGGGGTGGAGTGGGAGAGAGAGAATCAGGCTTCCTACTGAGCAGGGAGCCCGATGTGGGGCTGGATCCCAGGACCCTGGGATCATGACCTGAGCTCAAGGCTGACGCTTAACGACTAAGCCACCCAGGCGCCCCAGGATTATTTCTTTTTAGTCAATAACATGTTTATGGGCTCCACACTCAGATATGAAACTAATTGTAAATAATCATTTTTGAAAAGTTTTTCTTTTTCTCTTGCAGGTGTATTCTAGAGAATAAGTCTTCAAACATCTTTGCCATATTGACTCTGAGTTGTCAGGGGACTCAGGCTTATGAGGAGGTACTGTCACACAAAACAGTGTCTAGTGAAGACGACAAGAAAGTGGGGAAAGGATTGGAAAAAGAAGCTAAAACACTATAGAAAACCATGGTGGGTATTATTTGTGTTTCCTTAATTTAGTTATAAAAGATTGCAGTAGTTTAAAATCGGAAATATTAATAGTGAAGGCAAGTGAAAGACGGTGGTGTTAATTTTTGGCCCTAGTGTATCAGATAAAGATGGTACTCTACCATTTAAGCAAAGCCAATGAGTTCAGATTTATTATGAGCCCTTTAAACCACAAGATGGAGCCCCATGAGCCCTCAGGCCATAAATTATTAAATACAAAGAAGAGAAGGCTCATAAATAATATTTTCTAATAAAACTGGCATTAGCAAACTGATATAAGGATGGCTTAGGTGACCTTGAACTTGAAATTATGTAATTTTTCCTCTAGTCTTCTACCTGAAGTTCAGTTTTTTCCAGTGGAAATTAAAAATCTTGAACTAATCCTTTAATGAGTGATGCGAATGGTGTGGAAGTTTATGAAATATTTGAGTATTGAACTCAAAAAGTTACCTTTTTCCATATGCTTTCAAAATAACACGGTCAAGTGTTGACTGTATTAGGGGCACTGAATCTGACCTCAAGTAAAAATCTTGCTTTTTTGTGGAAAGTTCATACTCAAATTGGATGAGATGTTTGTTATATGAGATCATAATATCTGGTGCCTAGTGTTTCAATTGGTAAAATGTGTTGATTTTTTTTCTTCTAGTATTTTGGTTCTGGAGGATGTTGTGTGAATTTTTTCCCTAAGTATAAGTGAGAAAAGGCTTAAAAAAGATGTTATAAGTGGGAGAAAAAGCACAAAAATATTAATCATCAGTATGTTTGAAATATGTTGTTTAGCAAGTCTGATGGTATTTAAGTGTTAGTTGATTTTTAAAAAAATTTGTTCTAGGGATTATAACTTAGTTGACTTGCTCTTAGAGAAGAAATTCTCCAAATATTTTGGTTCTGGATGGTGGGGAAAAATGTTAGTTAACTTGGGATTTTCTCTGTCATTTAGTTTTAGGTGAAGTGTAAGGAAGGACACTGTGACTTGTGTTTCCTTGAATATGAATTATGTGCCTCTTCAACTTATTTATTATAGTCTTGATTTTCTTACAATTTAAATGCTTTTTAATATTTGTCATAGTTGATAAAAATTCCTTTCCTAGTTTATTCATTTTAAATTTAGTTTAGATTTTCTGGTGTTTACATACTTTAATTGGTTGGTAGGTGTTTTCCAATTTCTCTTATTGCTTTACTTCTTAGATCTTAGAGTTGAATGATTAACTTTCTGTTTCTGCATAGTTATTTCTTTTTTTTTTTTTTTAAAGATTTTATTTATTTGAGAGAGAGAGAATGAGAGAGAGCACATGAGAGGGGGGAGGGTCAGAGGGAGAAGCAGACTCCCCGCCGAGCAGGGAGCCTGATGCGGAACTCGATCCAGGGACTCCAGGATCATGACCTGAGCCGAAGGCAGTCGCTTAACCAACTGAGCCACCTAGGCGCCCTCTGCATAGTTATTTCTAATTTAATTTTTTAAATCTTTAAATAAATCCTTTTGGATCTTGTTGGGGGAAATAAGATCGCCCTCTCCAATTTTTTTTTTTTCCTTTTTTTTGGTAATACTGCTTATTCTTCCTTTCACCATTGTTTCATGATGCTTGTCCTGTCACAAACCGTAGAGTCTTGGATTTAATATTCTTGAGTTAACATTGGCAGCCTGTTATTTAACACCGAAGGTTTGTGGTATGTACCAATATGTCATTTTGTTAAGGCCAGTGTGCAGGACTAAGTAATTTAGCTAACTAAGTAACTTAGTAACTCACCATAAAACTAAATGACAGAGAAGATCCCAAGTTAACATTTTTTCCTCCACCATCCAGAACTAAAATATTAGTAAATTTCTTCTTCTCTAAAGAGCAAGTCAAATAATTTAATAATTTATCTCTAGAACAACCTGGCCATCTCCAGTTTGCTACATGGCTTTTTTGTTTTCTTGTTACTTATTTTGGGATATGTGAATAAATCTCAAGAAGTGATTAAAAATTGTTTTCTTTGTGGCAAAAGACTCCAGTTAGAAAACTGGTTGTGGACTGTGAGCAAGGAAGAAATCTAAACAGAAATGGCCTTTCTCTAGAAAAAAGGAAAGCTTTGTGATTGATTTTAGTCCTTATAATAATTGAAGGTTTCAAAGATTTACTTACCTTTTTAGTTATAGTTTGCTTCATTTTATAGGGGACAGTAATACTGTAGTATTAATTTACTAGTGTCCAAATTAGTACGATTTTTAAACATTAATATTCAAACAAAAACAATGAAAGAGATAAGACTGATAAGGAATTGAGAATATTTTAGTTTGTGGTAGACTTTAGAACGAAATATTTACCATCTACTAACATATAAGTTCATATAAGTAAAGACACTGTAGCCACCCTTTAAATGGAATACTTTGAGCTTTATGGAAACTCACCAACTTATCCCCGTTCATTTTGCAATGTACTGGTACAAGTGTCTTCACAGTATTTGTAAATTTGGAAATATTCAAAAGTTTTTGGAAGTGTGACTCATGAGTGTGAAGGATCTACTCTATTAAATTTTCATGAAATTCACTCTATTTCTAGGCTCTAATCTGCTCCACTGATTTCTGGGCCAGTGTGTCATTTTAATTAGTGCTTTTTAAATTTTTGATATTTTGTTTTAGTGTAACGGTACCATTCATCCATCTTTGTAGAATATTTCTTGATACTTTCATTGATTTTTTTTTTCTCCAGATGAGCTTTAAAATGATTTTTGTTGAGTATTAAGTAAAGATGTCTTGAGGGGATTTTGATTGAGAATGTAATACATTTGTAATTTACCTTGGGAAGTTGATTCTTTTGTAGTATGTATTTTCCCCATTTTGGAGTTTGGAATGTTTCCTGCTAATCTATTTTAAAAGATTAAGGCCTTGCTCCGAGAGTTTGAATGCCAAATAGTAAATAGAGTTTTGATGTGATCCATAGTTTCTCTATAGTGTTGACACATACCTTTGTATTTTATATTATTACTGTATTATGAAATCTCAATATTTCAAGGTGCAAAAGTCTTCAACAGTTTGGACAGGAGTGACTGGGTATCATGAGTCACCATTGTGCATTCCTAGATACTTTGTCAAAGCTAGGAAGTATCTGTTTCTCGCAGATGGTGTGTGATACAGATGACCTTTTTTGAAGTGGTATTCAAAATACTAGATTCAGGGGCGCCTGGGTGGCTCAGTCATTAAGCGTCTGCCTTCAGCGCAGGTCCTGATCCCAGGGTCCTGGGATCGAGCCCCGCATCGGGCTCCCTGCTCTGTGGAGAGCCTGCTTCTCCCTCTTCCACTCCCCCGCTTGTGTTCCTGCTATCGCTGTCTCTCTCTGTCAAATAAATAAATAAAATCTTCAAAATACTAGATTCAGCTAAAAGGTAGCATGTACATGATACCTAGAGTGACCTGTATGAATCTTACCAAAACATGAATGAAAGATCTCTAATTTTCTATTGTGGAGTTCAGTAGAATGAGGTTTTACTTTCTATTGTGTGTATTTTTTTTTTAATTGTCTCAACATTAATTATTTCACAGTAGTTTGACAGTTAATGCTATGACTTGACTTAAATATATTTGTTTCTTTTTTTAATACATTTGTGTATCATGCTTTTCAGGTAACATTACTTTTATTGAAGTAATTGTTTTCTTTCTCCTGACAGAGATCTATTAGATCTTTTGCCAATGATGATCGCCATGTTATGGTGAAACATTCAACAATCTATCCATCTCCAGAGGAACTTGAAGCTGTTCAGAATATGGTGTCTACTGTTGAATGTGCTCTTAAACATGTCTCAGATTGGCTCGATGAAACAAATAAAGGCACAAAAACGGAGGGCGAGACAGAAGTGAAGAAGGATGAGGCCGTAGACACCTATTCCAAGTAAGTGTGGCCTGACCTTTGTGGTGCTTTACTGCAGTGCTCAGAAAAGCTCAGAGTCCTATCCCATTGGGGTTCATTTGGTATATAGTGTTCTTTAGGTTTTCTCATTTATATGACTGTAAACGAGGAAGTAAATGTTTGTGGAATTTTTCCGAGTTACATTTGAAAGGAAGGCAAGAAAGGAATACCAATGAGACCAGGAAAAGAAGATGGACTTGTTCAGGATGCCTTTTGAGAGTGCACCAAGCCCTTTAAAATTGTCATTTTTGGAGATTATGAAATGTCACCTTTTTCATGTGTTGGTTCAGCCTTCTAAATTCAGAAATAGTGTTTTTGGTCTCTGGGGAAATCATAAAATGTCATTTTTTTTTTAGGTATTTAAAAATCCTGGTGGAGAAGAAAGAGTGCAGGAAAATGTGTTCTAAATGTATTTTTGACCGTATCCACCTTGTTGATTTCCAGGATTCAACACAGTGTCTGGCGTGTAGTAAAAATGCTCATTGGATATTTGTGGAATGAATGAAGGACTAACGGGAGCCAGACCCTTCAGCAATTATAGCAGAGTATTCTCAGTGCTGTAACAATAATAAGAGATGAGTGAAGTGAAGCTTCATGATAACTGGAGTTAGATCATGAAACTCTGTATGCCCTACTAAGCTTACTGTTTTGAGCAATGTCACTATAATTGGAATAAGTATGATTTACTTTGAAAGAAGAAGCTCATTTGGTTGTACTGTATTTATAGGATTAAGAGCATTGCTTTGGCTACAATTTACAAATTAAAGATAGAGGTTATAGAATTTTTTTTCCAACTTTCAATTCTAAATGTGATAAATAGATAAAGAATAGTGGGGAACTTTTGATAAATTGAATTTCTTAACTGAAAGATAGTGTAACTTTTTCATCTTTAGATGCAAGATAATCAGGATCAGTTCTCAGCTTAAGAACATAATTCCTTGAATTTGTTAACTGTTTACAGGTGATATCTACATTGTATATAGTCCCAGCCTTGTCAGCTTGGAGGCTCTTGGGAGTAATTCAATTTTTCTTGCATCTGATGGCTTTAAAATAGATACTGTCAAATTTTGAGGTTTATGTTAATTAGTAGTATCCATTAATCTGGCTCTGTGTATCCCAGTCCCTGTGCAAGTTAAATAGTTGTGCAGTCCATATTTAAATCGTACTTTGGAATGTGTTTATGCCCTTTCGAAAACTTTTTAAAAAATTTTGATAAAATAGGCATAACATAAAATTTACCATTTTTAAGTGGAATTTCATTTATCGTTGGAATTCAGGCCTTCTTAATACTCCTGTTGTTTGTTTTTAAGGCTGTGCAGACTTTTGAAAAGTGCTCCAGCAGACTTTTGCTTAACTGGATCAGGTTACTGTATTTTAAAGGTTTTTAAAAGATAATGTGCTCCACGCTTCCATTTGGGCTTGTAAATATAGCTCTGTGTGTGGGTGCTCTAGACTGTCTTTGTCCCAGGTTGAGCACTTCTCTTGATTCCTCCCATGTGTCGGAACTCAAGGAGGGCAGGATGTTTGGGTCCTTCTTTTGTATAAAACAGAGGCAGGCACGTCTTCTAAGAACAGAGCTGTCTTCCAGTAATAGACACGGGTTGATCTCCTGATGTATGCTAAGGTACTACAGAAGGCACCAAGATGGGTGAGGGCTAGCTTCTATTTATTAAGCAACTTGTATTGCCAGGCACTGTTAGGCAGCTTTTACCTGTGTGCTCTTATTTTACCTTTTAACAAACTGACTCAAAAGTCAAAGAAAGTTCCCACTATTTGTATGTATTATTAGGAATATTAGGGTTCTGTTCTCAGTTTTAAGTAATTCCCTATATTTGGGGTGTTTGCTTTACAGTATCCTATATTCAAATTCATTATTCAAATTCAGGACTGAAGTAGGAGTTCCTTTCTCTGCTCAGTCATGCTGTCATCTGCATAAGACCAAGTATATCCTAATTATGACATAGAATTTAATAAGTAATAATGGCTAGTTAATAATAGCTACCATTTATTGAATGCCAGTTACTGTAGCAGACTACTTTTCACATTATCTTACAACAAACCTGCTAGTCTCAGTTATTATCATTCCCTCCTCTGCTCCCTTTTACCTATAGAATTTCTGCTTCAAATTTGTATATGAAAAAAGTGACTCAGAATTATTAACAAACTTTAACGTGCTTGAGGTCAGTGAATGAGTATGTGTGGTGGGTCAGGATTCATATTCATCTGTTGGACTCCAGATCCAATTTTCTTAGCATCTTTGTCTCAAATTCCTGTGACTAAAATGTGAAAGGAAAGAGCAGGGAGAGATTATATGCTGGTTCTGGGGATTAAAAAAACTTTATGAAGGAAGTAGCATTTGCGGTAGGTTCAGAGTATGGGAATGCTTTTGGCAGGCAGTTGAAAGTGGAAGAAAAAAATAAATCTCTGCAAAGTTCTAGGTGTGAGAAAGCTTAGGGACCCTTTAGGGATTAATAGCTATTGTTCATTGAGCTATTCATGTATGCCAGTATCTGCACTAAGTTCATTACTTACATGATGTTCTTAGGACCACTTGTAAGAAAGGTATTTCTTTTTTTTACAAATGAGAAAGTAAGCTCAAAAGAATCAGGTAATTTGTAATTTATCCAGTGTCACAATAGTGAGTGGCAGAGCCAGAATTTGAACGATGAAGTCATCTTGTCTTCTCAGTTGCCTCCCAGGATGCTAAGTGCCTAGTTACACTAGGAAAGTAATAGGCACAGTGCCATCCATGCAGTGCTTTTGGAAGATTATGCTGGTAGTGGTGGTATGCAGTGGATTGGGATGGCAGAAGTTACTCATCAAAGCCAGTGAAGAGATGGTTATTGAAGTAGTGTAGGTGAGACGTAATAAGAGCCTGAACAGAAACTAGTTTGAAGGCATTTGTTTGAGGGTGATCGTGGAGGGAGAATTTATCAACTATTACTAGATTTGGGAGAATGAGAAGATGAGAGGACAGGGATATGGAAGAAGAAAGAATCAAAGGTGATGGACTCTCTTCTTAATATCAAATAATTTTCTATTTGGGTCACTTGCTTTAAAACCCTTTTTCTTTCTGTCTATACTTCTACCTCCTTTTATAGTTCTTCATTGATTTAATGTTTATTGAATCTCTAAGGTATGCCAGCCACTTAACCAGTGTCTGGATTATTTATAACTTCTGTCTTGTTTCTGCTGCCACAGTGTTTCTCTCCCTTATCCTTTCTCTGGTTCATTCTCCACTCCGCTGATTCTTTGCCCCAGCTAGAATGACCTTTTTTTCTCTCTAACCATGACTGCTGAAGTCAGACTTTGAGGTTGCCTTGCTTGGCCTCTCTAATTTTGACCTCTCCTTCTCCTGAACTTGGGAAGCAACCATAATAATTTAAAGAACCTGAGCATTGTGATCACACCAACTTGAGTTTGAATCCAGGCTTTGCGTTTTACTCTCTCTGTGAACTTGAACAATTTATTAGCTTTTCTGAGATTGACATCCCTTGTCTTTTACATGCAAGCTTGTTGTGAGGTTTATTTTTTTATTTTTTAAAGATTTTATTTATTTTTGAGAGAGAGCATGTACACATGGTGGGGAGAGGCAGAGGGAGAAGCCGTTTCCCCGCTAAGCAGGGATTCTGATGCTGGACTCCATCCTAGGACCCCAGGATCATGACCTGAGCCAAAGGCAGACGCTTAACAGACTGAGCCACCCAGGAGCCCTTGTTGTGAGGTTTAAATGGGAGTTTGTGACATTCGGTTTGTTCTCAGATGTTACTTTCTCACCCTTTTAAGCAGGTTACTTTTTGTACTTTACTACAGTATGAGCCTCAGGAGCAGGAGAGATTGGATCTCCTTTAGTATACTTTCTAAACTCAAACACTTGCTTACTTGTTGAATGACTGCTAAGATTAGTTACATTTTCACTTGTGATAAGGGAAATGAACCGATAAGAAATTTTTAGTATTAAAATCAAGGGTAGATATTAACATTATTTTTATGCACCATTCATGACATGATGTTCTTTGAATGTTTGTTCTTTTAGCCACGACTGGATTTAGAATGCATGTACTGGCAGATTATCTTTGGTCTGTTCCTTCTTTCCTCAGCTCTTTAGTTTTATCACATTGTTCTGCTTTCCCCATAAATTTTTGTGGATTCCTGGAATGATACAGCTAGAAGGGATGAGCTAAGGCTCATGCAGCTGATAGCTGTTTTGCAGTTATGGGTACTGAGCCAGCAGGCACCAGTAAGAATAGAGTTCAGGTCTTTTAGATTTCCACCCTGGTGCTCTTTTTCAGTATACTTTGGTGTTCAGGTTTCTCACAAATTTCTTTAATTACTAATAAAAAGATAAGAGGAGGAAGTTTAAAAATATTTTTAAAAATGTTTAAGGGGATGTAGTACGTATAGACTTTACTAACAACAAGCATGTAGCTGTAATAAAGAATTAAAAGATCTGTAGTATGAAATATGCTCCCTATTGATTCCTTGGGGAAGATAGATACTTTATTAGTCTTAAATCTGAGACTTAATTTTTGATGTCTGGATTTATATACTCCTTATCAGTTCGTATGGATATCCAGGAAGCCAAATGATGATTAAGTTATAGTTTGGGAAATAGGTTGTAAAAGTAATCATTTAGACTTTTATTTTTAGGGATCAAGGTGGTCGGACATTGTGTGGTGTAATGAGGATTGGCCTGGTTGCAAAAGGCTTGCTGATTAAAGATGATATGGACTTGGAGCTGGTTTTAATGTGCAAAGACAAACCCACAGAGACCCTGTTAAATACAGTCAAAGATAATCTTCCTATTCAGATTCAGGTGAGTACAGTTTAATTGCACCTCTAGGAGAATTTGTAAAAAGGTGAAAATAGGTAGCGACCTTGATGAAATTAATAATAAGAAATTGGTAATAGTAAAGGGTAGGTGCAGACAAAGGAAATACTGCTACTCTGGGTCAGTGACTCATCCATCACATTTAAAACAAACTTCTGATGATTAGTACTCAGGATATATTTACTAGATTAAGAAGGCTCTTAAGGTACAGTCTTCAATTTTCAGGTATATCTTGCTGAGAGGCTTCATGTTTTTCAGACTAGGTCTCTCAGTTTTATAAACTTCCTAGAAGGGTTGGTATAATGCAGAAAAGATCAAAAAGAGCATAGACAACTAGAAACTTTCATAGGTGATAATAAAATTGAAAACTCAGTTAATTTAACAGTCACCCTTTCATTCTGTTAATAGAAAGTCACTATTAATTCCTTGTTCCAGACCTTTTTTCCAATTGGATGCTTTTAGAAAATTTTGATGTTGGCATGCTTTTTGGAGAATGCTGTGAAGGCGGAAGGCTCCTCAGGGCTGAAGACAGTGGGTTGGTCTGGGGCAGTACCTGCCCTAGGACCTGCTCTGCCAGTCTGCTCCGAGGGCCAGCTGCATCACTAATTGGAAAGCTGTGATCATCTTTCAGTTTCACATGCGTTGTCTGTGGTATAATCAGATTGTAGCTTTTTGATGATTTCTTATCAGTTAGTCCTTATATCCATGTCATATAGATACCAGCCCTCAGGGTCCCACAGTCCTTTGAGTTGAATGCTGTCTTTTGTTTAGTTCGTTTCTTTTATTTGTATTTCTTCTACCAAGGTTCTTTCTCCCCCCAAGTTATATGAATTCTAAATTTGTTTTTATTAGCTTTGTTACTGGATACTTTTCTTTCACACGTACAAGTTGATCTTCAAGACCATCTCCCTGACTTTTTTATCTCAAATTTGTGTTTAAGTGTCACATTTCCCTATATTAATTTTTGGAGCATTATAGTTTCATTTTGCCTTAGATCTCAAGATATGGTTTTCTAAGTGACTGAACATATATTTGGCTTTTCCATTTTCAGTTCTCATGAAGAAATGTTTTTGCTCTTTCATAAGGTTACATTTATTTCTTCTAAAAATTATTTTAAGTCCTTTTGTTATCATTTGGGAAGGGAGAGTGGTGAGCAACATGGAGTACAATAATAGAGCTTTTTTTTTTAGAGACTGTGTGGGGGTGGGGAATGGGGGTTGGGGGGCAAAGGGAGAGTGAGGGAGAGCATCTTAAGCACAGGGCTCGATGTGGGGCTCAGTACCATGACCCTGAGATCATGACCTGAGCTGAAATCAAGAGTCGGATGCTTAACCGACTGAGCCACCCAGGCCCACCAATAGAGCTTTTAAAAAACAGTAAGCTCAATAACAGGAGTTTCTGGCTAGCTATACTTTCTGTTATTAGAATGTTGATAAAATTCCTCATTTCTATTTTTTATATCATTTAAAAATGTAATCTGTATTCCTGCTTTTATTGCAGTGAACACTGTTACTCTTAAATCTAGGATAAAGTAGTAATTCATGGAGGCTTTTCAACCATCTCACCCCTGTTTCTGCTCCCTATAGCAAGTCCTGTTTCTTATGAGAGTGGTCCTATTCCTTAGCTCTGTCAGGGTGGAAAAAGAGTTGAGAACCAGGGCTATAAATAACTGAAGTTCTTATTCTGAAAATCTGTCATATTTCTCTAGTATTGATATGAGAGATTGGGCCAAATTTCAGTCTGCATTAATAGAGCTTTCTCTGTGCAGATCACAACTGTGTAAACTCTACATTTTTTGTCTCCTTGGTGAGGGTCTTTATTTCTGGGCACCACAGTTTTAAAATGTTCTTACTGAGCTAGCAAGTAAGTGTTCAAGGGAAGAACCCAGAAGAAAGTGCAATCTGTGTAAACCATTTTAAATTTGAAGAGACTGGGGCTTTTTAGGCAAGAGAAGACCAAAAAAAGAAACATATCTTTTGGTCTTTGAAGGGCTTCTTAGAGAAGTTAAAAGAGGCTGAACTCTTAAGGCCAGTGGTAGACATTAAGAGGAAAGTATTTCACTTTATCATAGCCAATAGAGTTATCCAACCCTGAAACCAGCTGCTTTGTGTGATGGTTAGATCCATTACTATAGGTTTTTGGGTAGAGGTATCCAGGTAAAATGGGGACATAATTGTATACCCATCCCAAATTAGCCATTGGGTAATTGGTTCAGAAAGCCAACATACATGCTCACATACATACATACATACACACATTATTATTATTACTATTAATATTTCAGAAAATCATTTTAAGCATGATTTCTACCTTTACTCCCTGCCTCCTTGTTTTCTTGGTGTTTGTATGGAAAACCAGTTTCTGATATGATACGATCTTATTTTCTTGTGAATTAAAAATCTTTTTCCTGAGCACTTACCATAGCAGAACTTTCAGTAATTTAAGTACCTTAATTAATTTTGGTTGTACCATACCTTTTCTCTACATACTCTTTTCTAGGTCAATTTTAGAACTTCCTTGAGCAAGGTATAAGGGTGACCAAAACCAGGAATCACTTTTAATTAGCCTAAAACTCATACCGTGGTGATCTGCATGCACAGTTGAAAATTTCATTTGAATCATTCTCTGCTGACATCTTTAATGTAAACAGGCTTCTGCTTTTTCTCTGTATTCTAGTTCTGGTTTTTCCAGTGACTGTGTGGCCTTTCCCTTCCTTGGTTTCCTTTATCCAAAATTAGGATAATGAATTTTCTATTTTGCTATCTTTTTTGATATAAATGTTTAATGGTAAAATGCTATTTTTATGAAAATGGCTTTGAGTTCTTTTAATGCACACTGATATGCAAAGATCTAGTAGTGTTTCCATTCAGCTGTTTATGTCAGGTAATAGATATAAATTTCACCACCAAGGAAGACCCTGTATAACTTATTAAACTATATGTTTAATGTATAATAATATATTAAATATAGCTTAATATGTGACTCTAATTGGTGATTATTTTGTGGAAGGCCCTTAAATTATATGTGTATAATTATATGCTAAAAGAAGCACTGTATGTTTCCCTGTGGATGTCAGGTGACTTGTCCTATAATGATAGGTCTCACTGGAGTGATCTGTGAGACCTACCTATCCTTTGGGAAAGGAAGTTACTTGTTTATACTAATTTTTTTGCTGGTGAGTGACAGTGCAGAGATCCTTTCTCATTCTTTCTTACTTGATTCTCTTTAAAAATCTATATAATCTTATATAAAAATAAATTTATCTTATATTTGTAAGTCCTTAACAAGTAGGAGTTCCTTTTGAGACAGTCCTGTCAAAAAGGGATTTGGTTTAGAGAACATTCTCAGCAATTTATTATTCTACAGTAGTTCTCTGTAAGAATTTTAAGAACAACACTTTACCCATTATCACACAATGATGCTGTTGGTATTTTACTTTCAAATATTAGAAAGAATGGTTTTAAAGATTGTTTAATAATTGTATAGATAGTTGACAACGTGGTTGCATTTTGAGGTGTGGAGAATGAAGATTTGTTGTGGTAAGTTGGGAGGAGAGAGAATTAAACTGAAGAACTAGTTAAAGACTTTACTCTTTCAGCCCAGTATTACTAATAGTTAATAACATTTGAAAACTAAGGGGCAGTCATTCATTTTTTGAGAATTTAATCTAATTAATTAGGTGTTTTTGAAATCTTGGTGACTTTCAGAAACTCACAGAAGAGAAATACCAAGTGGAACAATGCGTAGATGAGGCTTCTATTATAATTCGGAATACAAAAGAGCCCACGCTAACTTTGAAGGTGATACTTACTTCCCCTCTAATTAGGGACGAATTGGAGAAGAAGGATGGAGGTACACATGTATATATTTTTGTTTTGCATAAGACCTCTCTTGAATGCTGTTAAGTATGCTTAATGGTTTTAAGAAATAACTGTCTTCATTTGTTTTATGCCACTCGTAGTATTTTAAAAAGCTTTATTTATACACAATTGCCGTATTTTGCAAATATGTATACATTTGAAATATATGTTAATTCAGAAACCTGTTGATTATCATGTTGGTCTTAACTCTGCTTTAATTTTTATACTATTATGGTGTTCTGTTTTATTTTGTCTATTATTACATTGTTATTGGTATCAGCCAAGCTATTCTATGTAGTTTGGCTTTTAGGTCTGATTTTAGGATTAAATGTGGTCCAGAACAATATTGTTTTCAAATTTACTCATTGTTTCAAGTTACTCATTTGTACATTGCTCTTGACTTCTAATAACTGTTACAACCTTGTAAGATTTATGCTTTACCTAATTGTCCATGTGTAAATATGTTTTATAATGTAAGAGATATAAACTGGGGGATTGTTTTCTAAAAATTAATCTTTAGTAAACTTTTTTCTAGGAGGTTTGTGATCCTGTTAACATTTCGCATATGATATATGTGGGAATTAATGCTTTAAACTAACCTTCTTCTGAAGTTAAAAAGAATTCTTGTATGGCAGTGTCATCCTCATAAAAGTAGAGTAAGAAATCTGTATTCAGCTTTGAGAAGGAATGATGGAGCTGGACTTCTTTATCTGATGTTTTTATCCTGTCAAGTTAGCTTGTTTCTGCCTCTCATTCCTATCCCTAGAAACACTTGCCATGTGATATTTGTCCTGTGTCAGACCTTTGACCAACTGGCCCTTCTCTGTCATGACAATTTGTAGGCAGTGTTGCTTATCTGGGCCAGTGGGGACTCCCTTAGGATTGCTGTTTTTTCATCACTAGACATTCAACAAGTCCCATTACTTACTCCCCTACCTGAAATACCAGTGCAGTAAGAAATACTGGTCAGTTTCTTAATTAATGTCAAATTGATGATAAAGGTGTAGTAAAAGACACATTAGTGATGTTAGGATTGAGAAATTTCGAGTTTTGGCAGACATGTCTCATAGAATCTCTGTAAAAGTGATATACTCCTTTAAAAAAAAAGTTTTTTTGGAATAACTAAAATCAGCTATACCATGCCCAACAGATATAAAGTAGACACATTATGACTCAAGTTTTAAAATTAAAGTGCATCCAATCTGTAATTGGGTTTATGCCAGTACTTTTTTTTTTTTTTTGCTGTGTATATATAGTATCTCTAATACCTCTGAAGAACCAATCCTAAGCAGCTTAATTTTTTTAACAGCTTTACAGTTCACCATTAACTGTAGAACTATAAAATGATTTCTGAAGTGTCAAGATAATTCTCTTACTTCTGGTAAGCTGTGTTCTACTTGACCCTCTAGTGTAAGCCAACCACTTCTAAGGATAGTTATAATTATAGGTATTATTAATTATTTGAGTTTAGAGAGATGAAAAAAAAGACTGAAATCACCAAAGACTAGATTAATTCTACATCTGCTTGTAGCTGTAGGCATCTCTTCTGTTACTTCTTTGAAAAAATTAACAAGAACATCAGGCTTCTTTTTTCCCGGTGGTTTTGTATACTTACGTGGGATTAGGTAATAGTTTTCTGTGATACCGTTAAGCTTGGTCTGTTGCCTCTGTAACTTTAATTTCTGTTCACAGAAGCTGGAAACAGATTTTTACTGTACTGCACCCTTATTAGAAAACTAGTTACTGTAGAATAGTCTCTGTTCAAGGTGTTTGGGTTACTAGAGGATCCCAAGACCTCTTTTTGAGCTGAGTCTTATCAGCTGATATTAACAATATTGTGTGGGATCAGATAAGGTGAAAGAATCTGCCTGGAGCTAATGTGTAAAACATATTACTTCCTCTCTTTTTGAATGGCGGAAAGATTTGTTTTGCAAATATCGTCCTTAACCTCTCAGCCCTGTTGAGTCACTGTTATCTCTAACAATTTGTGCATTTTGTCTAACCTGGGCTTTTTCAAAATGCTTCTTGATCTGCACTGCAGTTTTGCGTATTCCTGAGCAGCTTTTAGGATCCAACATGACTGAGCATTTGAGACCTGGGCTTATGATTCTATAGGACTTGTTTCCTCCTACCAGACAACTCCTCCCACCTTGATGCTGCATGGGGTGAAAGTACAGGATTCATTTGGGTTCCAGGAATTTCTAAGACTGGGAGATAGCCCCCTTTTCAAAATCTCTACTCCTTTTCTTTCTCAATCTTTAAAAAAATATGCATTGTAACTCTCTTTGAGGAGACATTTTCCTATAGAATCTCAACAGCTCGCCTCCCCACAAAACAAACCAACTTTTCACAGTACGTATACACTCACATCTTTCTCCTCCCTCTCTTCGCTTGCTGCATATTTGGGTAAAATCTAAAAAAGGGAAAAAAGCGTGGTTGCAAGCAGGGAGAACCAGAGGACTGGGGCAGGTGAGAACATCACGCTTAACTCCTTCGGGTTGTCTCTGCAGAAGTAGGTCTAACTATTCATTCAGATCGCTACTTAAATTTTTCAGTGGCCAGAGTATATAGTGAATCTCTTTGGTATTGCTTACTCTTTCACAGGTAAGATTCCTCCCATGCTGTCAGTCTTCTTGCCATATTCTAACCCTTTACTTGAAGGCCCTGTAGAATAACCATTCCCCATCACTGTATACTTCCTGCTAAAGAAGGTGCAGGAGAAGAAGCACTTAGTGCCTGGCAGTTAGGTGTTCGATTCTTAACTCCATTAGGTACTCTTGCTGTGTGATCTTGGACAGGTTTCTTCATTTTAAACTGTGGATAAGAAACGCTTGAGAAAGTTGAGGTCAAATGACAGAGTTTATGTAATGTGACTTCTACGATACCTACACAAAGTATTTGCTCAATAGTGGTAGTTACACTTATTCAGCTTATACTAAAAGGACACCCAGTGCAGACTCACATATGCAAACTGCCTGAAATTCAGTTCACAGTGAGAATAACGTGTACTTGATAGATCTGAGGAACTGAACCTAAACACAGGTAAACTCTTAAAGATCCACTGAAGTGTAGTATTAGAACCAGTATACTACTGTTTTTGCTGCAGTGCTTAAAATGAGCTGATTTGTTACATAGCTTTTGATTCTTCAAGGGGTGGGTGTATTTTTCCCTACCCATGTCCTTTATCCCTGGTGCCGAGAACGGTACCTAATACACTATAGGTGTGCTGTGCCCCCCACCCCCCCGCCAAAAAAATCCGTTAAATGAATTTTGGAGCCAGCACATGACCTGATTAAATAGGACTGTGTGGTGTGTAAGAAGCATTAACAATGGGCATCTTGATATTCAAGCCATGCATATTGATGATTCAGCTGGGTTAAAGTGTTATAACTTACTGTGTTAGAAGCATTTTCTCATATATGATTTAACCTTCACAACAGCCCTGTGAGGTAGGTAACTGCCTTGTTTGATAAATGAGGGAACACTCGGGTTTTACCCAGCTCCTTCCACTCTAAGTCCAGTGTGCTGTCGGCTCCCATTACTCTCTAGGATGAGTGCTGGAGCCTCTTAGCTGATGTAGTTATTCTCAGCCTTACAGGGTCTCATCTTCTTTTGGTGCTTGTGATTTTAAGAAGTGTATTTGCTGTGAGGGTGGTAAGTTAGCTATTTATTATATTTACAGTGCAGTTCGAAACCAGGTGGATAGGGAACCCACAGCAACTCTTCTGGCTTAGGCTAAGATGAACCTCTGTCCTCAGTATTGGGGTAGACTTTTAGGGGTTCACAACAGAGAAGCTGCCCAAAAGTCCCTTTTCACGTCTTGGTGCCAGTATGAACTTCTGCTGCGTCTTGGCAGTTTACTAGCATGAGGCCTGCTAAACAGAAGGCATTAGTCCGGAGATCACAACTGGGATTGTAACGATGCAGTAGGCTTTATTTTCCTGCCTTCCCCAGCTGCTAGACCCACACTATCCAGTGCAAATCTTTAGCCATTATCTTTCCAATGGCCGGCTGCCTACTGAAGCATTGAAGAAAAGTCATATCGAGTGATGTTTCTACCATAAATTAGGAAAACAGTGCTCTCTGTTCTACCTTAGTGCTACATTTACCTGTCCACATTTTTGTGGCCTGATGTTTTGCATGGACAGTGGCTTGGTGCCTAGTATCTGCTCTTCACAAAGCTTCGAGGAATTGAGAGAAGGGGCTGCCAGGTATCTTCAGGCTAACTAGAAAATTCTGTCAGCATGAATTCAGTAGCTCAACTACATCCAGATTGTCAAGGAGGCCTTTCTGATAACCCCGCTCAGTTATTTTACCTTTGAAGGGCCCAGGTTCCTCACAAATAACTTTGATTTAACACAGTCATGTTCTGGCTTTTCCCCACCCCATCTCCAGGCTAGTGTTTTGTTAACAGAGAGCTAGCTTACGTGTAAAGGGATTGAGAGAAACTGACCAACATTTCCTGCAGTACGGTGTGTTTCTGGTCACTGATCTAACCTCTAACCAAATAAGCAAAGTTAGGCATAGTAGACTTGTCTTCCAGTGCTTCCATTGTTCAGAACGTTTTATGTGCCTTCATGCCCTGATGCCAGGTTACTGAGCAATAAATTTTTAAAAGCTGTTTTTCTTTGCTTTTGGCATTTTTGTCACTCCCCAACCCCATCCCCTCTGCTGTTTCTCATCTGTTTTACTGGTCACCATAGGAAAATGAAATGGCTCACAGTTCCATCGTTTCTAATTTAAAGACTCCAGATGTCTTTTTATCAGAAAAGTTTTGCTTCTCCAACAAAATTGAAACACCTGTGTTAAAGTTCATACAGAAACGTTAAGTCTGAGGTTTTACTATGAGAAGTAGCATTGTTTTTCCACCAGGTGCTCCATAAAACTGTTATTTTTATATAAAGCAAATAGGCAAAAGCAGGGCTTATAAGTAGCACTGCAATGCGGTATGAATTTATATTGTTTTAAAATAAGACACTTTGAAGAAGATAAAATGAGATGAGTTATTACATTTCCTCTGCTGTTTCCCACCTCACAAATATTGAAACATTCTGGATCTTTGGACTTTTTTGACTATGAGAGCATGAAGAAACATGGCCATTCTGGTGGTGATGTAAAGGGAGTCCAGTGCAAGCCTTCTTTCTGTTCACTGCCTGTGCCTTTCATCTCTTTTTAGCAAAATCTACTGCCTCCAAATGTTGACTGTCTGTAACAAGATGATGTCTATTTTTTTTTTTAATAAGAGTTTGTGATTAAAATCTGACCTTGGGGATGAAAGAATTTATCTAAATATTTTTGCTGTTGTCCCCCTTTAAAAATATCTGTGTTGCAATGAGCATAAGATGTTATTTACCAACTGTGACCACTGGGCAAAAGTGCCAGAAAGCTCAGAGCTTTGGTTTGCCTTGTCTTTTCCTATGCAAACTTCCTCTGACTCACACCTGTCTTCCGTTGCCCACTTTTCCAACACTCCTATTAAGATGATCGAATAAAACTTAGCTTGCCTTACTTTTAACTTGAAGATTAAAGTCTTAAAAAATAAGTACATTCCATGTTTTTTCTTGAGATTACATTACTTAGCAGTCAGTCAACCTTTGTCATGTCTAACTTTTAAGAGATTCTAATCATTCATTTATAGTAGTTTGTTTTATCTGGTACATGAGCTTTACACAGATGCTTGTATTGACCACAGTTGAGCATTTTGATATAAAAACATTAAAATGAGTTAATTTATGTTTTATGTTATTAGAAAGAGACAGAATTAAGCAAATCTAGGAACTAAATCATCTGTGAAGTAAATACCCATAGGATATGGCTACATATTCATAGTATATCTATGTTTATAAATTACATTGATAGTTTGTTTTTTTTTTTGAGGCTTCCCATTTTATGAGTAAAAAGGGGCAATGAAATGAGACCCTGTGTTTTGAATTTGTGGGCAGAGGTTAATGTGAACCAATGCAAATATCTGCTGTAGAGCTCACCTGGTCAGAAAATAAGTGTGTAGCACTTCAGCCTTTAGAGCGTTAACAGCCAATAGAGAGCCACAGTTTGTTCTTTCATAGATTTGTTTTCTGTTGGGCATTATGCCTTTGGTTTTAGTTAATGGCATTCTGTCAATTAGAATATTACAGTGTAGTTGCCTTAATAGAATCTTATAGCTGAGGAATCCAAAAGGTATCAGTGATCTTGTCTCCCATTTAAAAATATTTACAATGTATCACTTGGCCCACACAAACATACTACTTTCTGTGACTGTTAGGATTATACTAGGAAGAAGTGTTGGGTGGACTCTCCTATATCTAAGAGTTCTTACAAGAGAATGGTGAATCTGACTTAAATGGATTAGACAAAGAATTATTCCTCAGGAAGTATTTGTATGTTATGCATTATAAATATTGCACCAAATATTGCTTAAAAACCTACTTCCTAGGAGTTTAGAGGAGATATAAATTTGGCGATCCAAACGTGGATTTAGAATCCTGTGACATCTTCTCAGATATGGATATTTATCATTAATCTCGTGTTTGAATTCTTTTGCTGCTCTGGACCATCTAATCCAACTTTAAAATGTAGAGGCAAGTCAGATAACTGTAATTAGATAGTATTCTTTGCTGCCCCCCCCCTTTTTAAGGTAGATAAAACTTGAAATGTTCCAATGTACTTCATTTTTGTAGTTCTAATAATTTTGTTTTAGAAAAGAAATAATGAGAGAATTTAAGGTGCTGCTTGAAGAGTTCTCATCAGTGGAGCAAAGTTTCTATTAAGGGTTATCTTGCTGGATGAGTTTATTTAGGTGTAAAAAAAATTATATTCAGTGTATTCTTAGTAAATCCCAAATTATTTACATAAAAGAGCCCCAGTTTCTCTCAAGAACTGATCAGCAATTCTTCTGTAAAGGAAAATCGTTGTTGCTCCTGGTCCCAGATTTGTGCTCTCTGTGCCCTGCCAAAGGCAAAAGTGCTATGTACCTATTTTGTGCCCCTGTAATGTTATACACATGCTTAATAAGATCCCAGATTGTATGTAGCATCAGTCACGTATTTGTTTACTGAATAAATGCTTTTGTACTCCTCTTGTACCTGTGCACAGAACGGCTCTGATGACTGTTTACTGAAGTAATCATCGTGCACGTAATTTAAGAAGAAAGCAACAAAAACAAAGCCAAATCGTAAAATCTTCTGGGAGTCTTATTAGTTCACTCAGATGCTGCTCTTCTTTTTATTTTTATTGTTTGGTAATTTGACAGGAAACCCTTGGTCAAATTGTATCTGTCTTTCTTTATCCCATTTTCCTATTAGAAAAGGTTGCGTTGAAAGATCCTCCGGACTTATTGGACAGGCAGAAATGCCTGAACGCCTTGGCGTCTCTTCGACATGCCAAATGGTTTCAGGTTGGCTTTTTATTATTTTATTGTTACTGTAACCTTGTGCAGGCTTCATTTGGAACACCTGCCACTTAATGGTTTCTGTGCACATAATGTATAAAATGGGGGTGCTTTCTATCTTATAGAGTTATTGTAGGAGTATATGAGTTAATTTAGGTAAGGTGCAGAGTATAGCTTCTGCGACAGTTAGTGATGTTTAATTATCATATAATCTTTTTTGTCTTAGTACTCTGAATTTCAGATGATGGCTTATAAAATACAAACAGGGATGAGAAAAGCTGGAAGATAAGATAGATAGATGGTTGCCCAGAATGGGATTGCCATGAGGCTATGAAAGCTATTTTAGTAATATGCTTCCTTTACTTTAAAATTTGTCTTTCTAAACTACATTTTTACTGCTTTTAATAACTTAATTTTTTGGTTTGCTTGACAACTAATGAATGAGTGGCTAATTAGTATTCACTTTAAAGAACCTATCCATGATCCGTGTGCTTAAAATGAAGACTGGATTTCAACAGGGGTATTGGAATCATTTTGTTTGTTTTAGGCAAGGGCAAACGGATTAAAATCATGTGTAATTGTCCTCCGCATTCTGCGTGATTTGTGCAACAGAGTTCCCACATGGGCACCATTAAAAGGATGGGTAAGTACTTATGGTTAAAAGCAAGTTCTATAGCCATAGTCAGAGGAAATCCTGTAGAAATTACTTGTTACTGTAAAATGGCTACATTCTGAGTTAGGTGTGCATTATCTATTCTCTAGAAAAAAACTGTATATCTTTTTATATACTTTTTTTATACATATAACCTGTCTCTTCTACCTCATCATATTCATATTACAGAGCCTGAGATATTTTTCTGACAAAAAGGTTCTATACCTGTTAGAAGTGACTGTCTTCTTGCACTTTACTCTGTACTGATGGTTGATTACTATTCACCTACTGCCCGTGAAAGCCTCCTTAACTGGCACATTTCTCTTTCAGGGCTACTTCCATTTAAAATAAAAATTACCTGATATGCCTGTATATGGCTCCCATATCCTCTTTTTCTTTATCTTTGAGTGTAGACACTTTGATATAAGTTTGTTTTAGTAAGTAAAGTCGGGCAAATAGTACACTTGACACAGTTTTGGACGTCGTTTATAATGTATATTGCAAAACTTATTTCATTTGGAAATTATTATGCTTGGCCCAGTCAAGACCACAGTGAAGAACGTTATAAAACAAATAAAGCTGTAAGGGTCATTTTAGATTAATCTAACAATTATTACTTTGATATAGTACATGAGGTTTTAGTTTATTTAGTTTATTAACTATGGAGATTTGGTCTTTCGTTTATTCTAATTGTAGTACTTGGGACAGGCTGTCTGAAGTGAAGTTGTAGGTGGTTTGAGTGCTTCCTAGGTTAAGTAGGAGATAGGTGGGCTGGTTTTGAACATTGATTAGTTAATTAGCTATTACTAACGTAGACGAAAGCTTGTTAAATCCTTGTTAAATCAACTAGGTGACCACAGTTTCTTAAGTGATCCTTTCAGGGTAACCAAAAACAAAGTTTTTGTAACAAAATATCTTCTGAATATGTTACCTCAAAAATGATTGATTTAAAAACTCTGGCTGGGATAAAAGTTGATAATCAAGCAGGAAAAGTTTAATTGGGCCCTAAATATTAAGTTGACTTTCACCTTTTTGGCCTCCATTGTAGTTAGAAATGTCAGCTCACATTTAACTGGAATCCTTTTAACACTTGGTGCATGTACTAATTTGTAATTTAATATCTTCTAGCCACTAGAGCTTATATGTGAAAAGTCTATAGGTACTTGTAATAGACCTTTGGGCGCTGGGGAGGCCTTGAGACGAGTAATGGAGTGTTTGGCATCTGGAATACTACTTCCTGGTAAGGGTTTCAAACTCTGGAGGCAGAAGAATCAGAAACATTTCATTTTAGTTTATTTTTCTGAATATGTGCTAAATTTGTCCTCTGCACAGGAAAATGATGCGTAGGTGTTGTTTTGCTTGGAATGTTAGCAACTAGAATGTTTGAATGTTGGAAAAGTGCTATAAAACTCTCTCTTTCAATAACTGTAATTTATGTTTTATATGTACTAACATAAAAGGTACTAATAAGATATTGTGTCTGCTATGAATTTGCTTTACCTAGAGCTCTGAATTTGAAAATGTAGATGTTTGGTTAAAATGTATGAAGTTCATTCTGTTTGCAGTCTGGTGTTTAATTTGGAAAAATTAAATTTGGTCTTATTTTACATATGTAATCCCTTTAAAGATCTGGGATGGTTCATCATGCTGTTTCTAAATTCTCAGAGTAAGACCCAATTTTGTCCTTAGATACGCAAGTGACTTCCAGTAAAATAAGGACATTTAAGTGTTAACATATTGAAAATGAGAGAGTCCTTTTTATTCCATTTAATTGAGCAGACTTTTAACCTAGTTCCTCAGTTTTTGTTTTTGTTTTTCTTTTTCTCTCCATTCTTTTCTCTCTTTTGTGTTAGTTCATGGAATTCTAAACTCAGTTCTGAGTGGTGCTTGTGTTTTTCTTTTGCCTTTGCCAAAGGGGGTCCTGGTCTACATGATCCTTGTGAGCGAGACCCAACAGATGCTCTCAGCTATATGACCATCCAGCAAAAAGAAGATATTACCCACAGCGCACAGGTAAAAGATGGGACATGTCACAATGATCTCTTTAGAGAAAGATCATATCTTCATTTTCTGAATCATTCCATTTAAACACTTTTTTTCTTGTCTGTTATTAGGGACTTTTGCCATCATAAGCATAACATTTAATGAATGTCTTTTTAGTTACTTGTACTAAAGGCTTTATGAATGGCCATTGAAATTTGAATAAATAAATCTTTTGTTCTTTAGCATGCACTCAGACTATCAGCCTTTGGCCAGATTTATAAAGTGCTGGAGATGGACCCCCTTCCATCTAGTAAGCCTTTTCAGAAATATTCCTGGTCAGTTACTGATAAAGAAGGTGAGTGTTTTATTGGGGGTGGACGTGGGCAGTGGTGGAAATGGTCACGGACTGCATCTCTTGTTAGAGTGGAGCGAACTTTATTGTTAATCCAAGTTGTGTATTGCTTTTCTTCCTGACTTTCTTCTCTTCTCTCTCATCGGTAACATCAGCTTACTACCGTTTATTCTTAGTAGTGACAAACTCACTTAGCTACATTGGCCAGATTCCAATCTATCCAGTTTACTGAACAGATTTAGAGACCACACTTTGAGAACTGGTGGTCGAAGGGGAAAAGATGAGCCGTAAGCTGAGAATAGATGTTATCATAGTCACTGACCAGTTAGATCTTTGTCATGCTTGGAAATGTTATGTAACTAAGAAAGAGATCTAGAGGAGGAGAAAAGCATACTGGAAAATTCAGAACTATTGCATTTGACCTAGTCTGTCTGAACTCACAGTTTCAACAGACAGAGCACAGGCTTTGGGGTCAGTATGACCTCGGTTGGTTCCAGTCAAAGCTCCACTACTTACTAGCTTTAGGCCTTGAGCAATGGGTTCATCTCCCTCTGTGGGGATATAACCCCCACTTTATTGGCTGATGTCAGATTAAAATGCCTAACTCAGTGTCTGGATTACAGCACATACTCCGATGTGAATCACTTACTCACCTCATTGTGCACAGTACATGTTTTCCCCCCTTCCCTTATCTCCTGTTATGCTAGAAAGTGGGATGTTTAACATAAGTTATTCTTCACCTGGGACTCAGCCCATCTCCCACAATGGATATTATTCTAATAATTTTTATATGATAAAAATAGTGCGATGGCTCAATCTATTTATTTAGACGACAGAATTCCAGTGGGTTAACAGACTTTTCAGGGAGTCCACAAAACCAAAACTATTTCATAATAATACTAAGGCTTTTTTTTTTTTTTTTTTTTGTCTTTTCCATTCTTTGTCTCATGAGTGTACAGTTTTCCAGAGGCTGCATGTGACATGTGATAGCATTATCACTCTGGCTAATGGAATGTTTTTTTGTGTAATCCTATATTAAAATTGTTTTAATTTCTAATATGATAAATATTGATATTACCCAAAAAACAAAGCTCTTTGAGTGTTCAGTAATTTTTTAAGAGGATAAAGTGGTCCTGAGATTAAAAATTTGAGGGGTGCCTGGGTGGCACAGTCGGTTGAGCGTCTGCCTTCAGCTCAGGTCATGATTCTAGGACCCTGGGATCGAGCCTCGTGTCGGGCTCCCCTGCTGAGTGGGGAGCCTGCTTCTCCTTCTCCCTCTGCCATTCTCCCTGCTCATACTCTCTCTCTCTCTCTCAAGTAAATAAAATCTTTAAAAAATAAAAAATAAAATAGGGGCACCTGGATGGCTCAGTTGTTGGGCGTCTGCCTTTGGCTCGGGTCATGATCCCAGGGTCCTGGGGTCGAGCCCCGCATCAGGCTCCCTGCTCAGTGGGAAGCCTGCTTCTCCCTCTCCCACTCCTCCTGCTTGTGTTCCCTCTCTCGCTGTCTCTCTCTGTCAAATAAATAAAATCTTTAAAATAAAATAAAAATTTGAGAATCACTGCCTAACTTCTCAGGGATAAGGAATTCTCCAGATCCTACTATATAGCTTAAAAACTGATGCTCAGTAAGTATTTGTGGAATGAAAGCCACCTTATTCCAGAGGGTGCTCACACAGCAGCAAAGATTTTGGGGGCGGGGGGCAAAGATTTTTTGAAAAGGATTCACATAGCCATGTGACATTAAGCACTGTCTGTGGATTGAATAAAATTTTCAAATATTTATAGAGATTCTTGTGATTAGTATAGAAAAAATTTGTTTGAATCATTGAATTCATAGCAGCTCTTTTGGTTTTTTTATATTTTCTTTCACTAGAAGAAAAAGTATATCTACTGTAGTGTGGCTTAGGTTTTTTGTTGTTGTTGTTGTTTAAGTTAGGGAACTGTTGATCTGTCAATTTATAGCTTAAAAAAGAACCAGACTGTCAGTGTTTCCATTCAAGCACTATCAGTTACTGGCTGCATGAGCTGGGCAAGTCACTTACCCATCTGTGCCTTAGCTATAGGAGGAGGGGACCATGGCCATTGTCTCCAGACCCTTTGGCATTCTTCCTCATATCTTCATGTTTTTAGCACCTAGCTTCCTGACATTGGCATTTAAACTTTATTCTTGTAATTCTTGGTGATTTCATTTTGCACTCAGATGATTTTTTTCCCCAAACTTTTGACTTCTTAATTCCTTCGTTTCTTCTTCCACAAATATTTTGTCTTCTATCCTACCTCAGTTACCCATACTGTGAACGTACCCTAGACCTGCCTTGAGTAACTCTACCCTCTCCATAATCTTATTTTTAAGAATCCCACTTCTAACTTCTTCTTGTCATCATTCTCTATTACCCTTACTCCAGTTCTTGAGCCTCACCACTGATTCTGTTACCTTTTCATAGTCTCTCACCTTCTCCATGTTCTCTCTTCTGTCCCTTCTCTGATTGTATTCCATGGTCCATCATCATCATCATTCCCTAGCACATGCCTTCACTTCCTCGATCCTCTGTTTCTGGCACAATTCTAACTCTGGGAAAATCCAATTCTGCACCTAGACCAGGCTGTTGAACATCGTTGGAGGAAAAATACAATCATCTTGACTTTTCCCTTTAGGTCTCAGGTGTAAATGACCCTTCGTGTTGTCTAGCAATCCTTCTGTAAGTTCTAGAGTTCTCCAGTTCTTGTAGATAACTGTTTTACACCTTTTCTCATTTCATACTTCCTCTTCCAACACTTCACTCTCATCTGATGATCTTGTTTGCTCAAAGGATTCATGTATTTGGATAAACTCCCTTGACTGTGATAGACTATCCAGGCTCTTAAGACCAATCTTTCTACTTGTCTACAAGTGGACATTATTCCAGCAGTTCTCTCTTTTCTCACCAGCATCAACTTCTCCCTTCCTACTGGATCATTCTCATCACCATAAAAACTTGCTATAATGCCTCCCATTTGAATGATGAAACCAGGGGCGCCTGGGTGGCTCAGTTGGTTAAGCATCTGCTTTCAGCTCAGGTTATGATCTCAGGGTCCTGGGATTGAGCCCTGCATTGGGCTCTCTGCTCAGCAGCAGTCTGCTTCTCCCTCTCCCTCCCCTGGCTTGTGCTCTCTCCCCCTACCTCAAATAAATAAATAAAATCTTAAAAAAAAAAATTGAAAGATGAAACCAAACTCTCCCCCCCGCCCCCAATTCTGCAGTTCCCTCCAACAGAGTCCCATTCTCTCCTCCCCTTTATAAGCAGTACTTTTGGAAAGAGTGGCCTATTCTTTCTCCTTTTCTTCACTTTTAAAAGAACTTACTCTAATCAGGCTTTCTTCCTCACCACTCTACCAAAGTCTTTGTTGTGACTTTCATGTTACTGCCCTCAGCAGTTAGTTTTCAGTCCTCATCTTAGCCGACTAGCCACATTTGATGCAGATGGACACTTTTTTTTCTCCCAAATTTTGTTATAGTATGTATACAGAAAAGTATAAAACGTATCATTTAGAAAATAATGATTAAAAAATTACATGCAGTCACCATCCTTAAGAAACATTGTTAGCTTCTCAGAAATTATCTGTTTATCTCTCCATATCACCTCCCTGCCCCATGAACTACTAACCATTCCTGACTTTCTGATAATCATTTCCTTGATTTTCTTTATAGCTTTTCCACCTGAGTATGCTTTCCTAAACAATGTGATATTGCCTAGAATTTTATAGAAAGGGAATCAAACTAAGTTTAATCTTCCGTGATTGGCTTCTTTCTCTCCAGCATTGTTTGGGATACATTCATGTTGCTGCATATAGCTAATGTTTGTTCATTTTAGTAGCTACATAGTATCCATTATGAATGTACTACAGCTTATCCATCTACTTTTGCAGGACACTTGGAGTCTTTTCATTTTTTGGCATCCACCTGCAATATTGTTATGAGCATTTTTATATGTGGCTCCTGGGGTGTATATCCAGGATTTAGTGTAGGCTAGCATATGATCTAGTAAATAGTTATATATATCAGTTTGTACTTTGACCAGCAGTGTGTAAAAAGTTCTTGGTGCCCTGTATCCTCAGCAGCATTTGTCATTGTCACACACTTCTTCTGACATGAAATACTACTTTTCATTTGACTTCTAGGTCATTACTTTTTCTTGTTTCTTCTAGCCACACAGCCCTCTCCTCAGCTTTGTTGGCTTTTCCCCATCTTCCTGATTTCTGAATATTTGAGTGTCCCAGGGTGCAATCCTCAGACTATTTATCTTTATTTACACCCACTCTTTAGGTGACCTCATTTAGTCCCTTGTCATGAAATATACATATCTCTACTACCAGTCCTAGCCACCAGCCTCTGACTGCAGACCCAGATATCCAGAGGCCTCTTCAGTGCCTCTACATGGATGTCTAAGAGACATCTCAAACCTCAAATGTCTAAATCCAAATTCCTGTCCTTAACCCTGCCTCTGGTCTGCTCTTTCCATAGTTATCCCTGTCCCAGTCATTGGAAACTCTGTCTATGTGCTCAGGTCAGACACCTTCACCCTTTGAATCTTCTCTTTCACTTTGATCCAGACCACCGGCACACCCTGTCTATTCTACTTTCCAGAATATGTCCAGAATTTAGCTATTTCTTTAGCTCCTTCACTGCTGTCATCCTGGCCTACACTGTCATCGCCTCTCACCCGGATTATTGCAATTGTCTTTCCTGTCTGGTCTTCCTACTTCTGCCATTGCCCCTGTTGTCTGTTCTCAGCAAAGCTGCAGTTCTATTTTTTTTCTTTCTTCTTACCTGGAAATAATTACAGATTCACAGGAAGTTGCAGAGATAATACAGAGAGGTCCCATGTTCCCTTCACCCAGTTTCTCCCAGGTTACATCTTACATAACTATAGTACACTATCAAAACCAAGAAATTGATATTGATACATTTTATGCCATTTTTATCACATGTGTAGATTTGTATAACCAGCGTCATAATCAAGT